ATAGATAACGAGGAAACATCCCCAACTATCGGATCGCTTTGGAGTTCTGGCTCCGTGCATAAAGCAGATCCTAGTGAGGTATGAAAAACCCCAAAAGGATAAGTGCCCATGGGTCGTCTTACTTTATGCACGGAGCCCGAACTCCAAAGCGATCCGATAGTTGGAGATGTTCCCTCGTAAGATTTCTATCAAATTTTCATTTCTTCTAGTCTAATAGTGGTTCAATTCCGATCTCTTTATTCTTCTATTTTCATCATGAACTTCCATGGATAAAAGAAATTACATCAATATCAAAACAATCTCGTGATACTTTAAATATTCGTGGTCAAACAAATGAATTAGATAAATTTTCTATTAAAATTAAATTAAATACATTATCTCATCAACCTATTATTCGTACATTAACAGATATATTTCAATTGAATACAATTCATCGTGATATTCTAACAAAATTAACATCAAATCGTCCTAAACAACCATATTTTGTTTTAACTGATCAAGTATTTCAAAGTACAGAACATAATACATTTTTTATTCAAATAACATTACCGAAATTATTACCGGATGAAAAATTTTCATTTGATATTAGTTATCAATCGGATTCATCCGATAATGAACGTCAACAGGATTTAACAGGTATTTATTTTAATGAAGAAATTCTTCGTTTACAAAAACAATTTGATCAACGTTTTGAAAATATATTTCAATTAAAAACAAAACAAAATATGAGTGAAAATAAAATAAATTTTGCTCGATCAACTTTAAGTAATTTAATTGGTAGAATTTCATATTTTACTGGTAAAAATTTTCTTTTTTTCTGCCATGACAAATCTTACTCATTGAGTTATTCTCCTAGGTCAATCGTTAGTAGCAAAACCAAATCAAAAAATTCCCGATGAATATTGGACAACTAATTTATATACAGCTGTACCATCACGTTCATTTTTTCCACGTGGTTTTCTATGGGATGAAGGTTTTCATAATCTTCTTATTGCTCGATGGAATCAAAATATTACCATTGACATTCTTTCACATTGGTTTGATATGCTTAATGATAATGGATGGATACCGAGAGTAAGTATTTTTTATTTCAGATAATGAGTGGTAGATAAATTCGTGAGAGTAAATATTTCTGTCTATTATAGACAATTGAATTGTACTTGAAAGTATGTCACGATTGCGTCATACATTAAAAAAGTAATTTTACGTCGTTCTCTTGTAACGCGTGTTGACACACGGTTATAATTTTCAAACAGAATTGTTGATGTCGCCATAGTATTTTTAATCTTGTAAGCAGTAGTATTCTATTTCGAAAGTCATACCGTTTGTTAATCTCTACATATATCGATGATTATTTTAGGAAATAATTCTTGGCGATGAAGCTCGTGCTCGTGTACCATCTGAATTCGTTATTCAATATACGAGTAATGCAAATCCTCCAACATTTTTTTTAACAATTGATTATTTATTAAAAACAAATCAAGCAAATCATCTTTTTACTTTACCATTTATTCAACGTTTAGAAAAATGGTATCAATGGTATAATCGTACTCAATCAGGTCCAATTCCATTCTCGTTTCGTTGGCGTGGTCGAAATGCCTCATCAATCTATGAACTTAATCCAAAAACTTTAACAAGTGGTCTAGATGATTATCCACGTGCATCTCATCCAACTGATTCTGAACGTCATTTAGATTTACGTTGTTGGATTACATTAGCATCAACAGTAATTGGTAAACTTTATTCAATAATAAATAATGAACATACAAATGAATATTTAAATTATGCACAATTACTTTCAAATAATGATATACTTGATCAATTACATTGGTCTGATGAATATGAAATGTATGCTGATTATGGTTTACATACAGATCATGCTAAATTAAAACATGTATTAATGCCAAAGAAATCATCGTCACAACAATATCAACAAACGCATATGATACGACAAATAACAAATGAATCTGATGTTCATTTGAAATATGTCAAACATTTTGGTTATGTTTCTCTTTTTCCATTAATGACACGTATTTTAGATTCAAAATCGATTAAACTTGATAAAATCTTAAATGATTTACAAAATACAACTTTATTATGGACACCCTATGGTCTTCGATCATTAGCACAATCAAGTTCATTGTATGGAACGAGAAATACTGAACATGATCCACCGTATTGGAGAGGTACCGATATTATTTATTTTTATATCGAAATTTTTTTATCTAAATCATGATTTTAGGTGCTATATGGATAAATATGAATTATATGGTACTATCAGCATTGCAACATTATGCAAAAATTCCCGGTCCATATTCTGATAAAGCTAGACAAATTTATAAGCAATTACGTATAAATCTAATAAAGAATATGTTTCGTGTTTATGAAAAAACCGGTCATGTTTGGGAACAGTATGATGATAGAACTGGTAATGGAAAAGGCAGCCATCCATTTACTGGATGGTCATCATTAATTGTTTTAATTATGTCTGAGTTATATGATGAATAAGTAATAGTTTTATTTTTATTTTTATTTTTATGAAAAACAAGTGAATAATATTAATGCCATAATTGTTTAAATTATTGAAGAATTTTTATTTTTAAGGTTATGGGATAATTGTTTTCTTTATTTTCTAGATATATGAAACACTTGGAATGAGAACTAAATTATAATAATACGTCATCTTTTCTAGATTATTCTTTTTCATTCCACCTGACATATTAATCTGTGATTGACAATGCATTCCTGGTGATAGCTACTCTGTTCTTCTTCTTCTCAAAGTAAGATTATATGAAAAGATCGACAAATTTTTAAAGAATAGTTCATCTTAATTGTGTACTTTTTGTTTTGGAGAAAGGATCAAAATTAGTTTTTCATGCTATATTCAGTCGTACTATTCTAGTTGCTATCGATCATAATCTAAGTCACTACAAGAACAGATTATCTTGCAAGATTTCAGTACTTAGAAAAGCGAGTTTATATTACCAGAATCAGTCTGTCATTGTATAGTATTGTTATAGTTATTCTTTACTCATCGATTACATTTAGAATTCTATTTGATTTTAGTTTTTTTTCTAATGGCTATCACAACACGTACATTATTATTAATAACTTTTGTTAGTTTTTCAATATTAAGTTGTTCAATCTATATTTATTCGAAAAGTTCTTATAAAAATAAATTATGGGCAACAAATCCAATAATACTACCGAATGGAACAAAAATTTTAGCAAATAATAAAATCAATGAAGATACAAAAAATATAGGAAATCTTGGTTTTGTACATGCATTTCTTGCAGCAATATCTGTTATTGTTGTTTCTGAAATAGGTGATAAAACATTTTTTATTGCTGCTATTATGGCAATGCGTCATTCACGTTTAATTATATATGCTGGTGCAATGAGTGCTCTTGGTGCAATGACAGTTTTATCAGCATTATTAGGAAATATTGTTACAAAATTTATCTCACGAGTTTATACTTATTATTTATCAAGTATATTATTCGCATGTTTTGGTATTAAAATGTTAAAAGATGGATATGGTATGTCACGTGATGAAGGAGCAGATGAATATGAAGAAGTTCAACAGGAAGTCGAGAAAGCAGAAGCTGCTGATGACTTAGAAGCAGGTAATAATGGTGAATCAATCGATAATCCATCAAAAGAAAATCAACAACAACAACAAAGATCATCACAGAGAAATACTAGAAATAATATTACATCAATTATACGTCGTTATATATCACCAATTTTCGTTCAAGCATGTATTATGACTTTTCTTGCTGTAAGTATATACAGTTAACCATGAAATAGATTAAGATTAAATATTAATATTTTATTGTATGTTTTTTGTTTTTCAGGAATGGGGTGATCGTTCTCAAGTAACAACGATTGTATTAGCAGCTAGTGAAAATCTGTTAGGTGTTATTGTAGGTGGTACAATTGGTCATGGTTTATGTACTGGATTAGCTGTTATTGGTGGTCGTTTTATTGCGCAACGTATATCAGCAAAGACAGTGACACTTGTTGGTGGTGTTGTATTTTTATGTTTTGCACTTTCAGCATTTTTTATCCGTCCAGATAAATAATCGATCAATTGAAAGTTTATGAAACAGATCAGATTTCTTCACCAACCGGTGTATTTGATCAAGTATTCATTTCTCTCTTTTTTTCTGTGTTTTCACAATTTTCCAGTATTTTTACTCATTATCATTTTTGTTTCTTTTCTATCATGTATTCCATTAAATATCATTAACCTCTAGTAATCACATATCGCTTTTATACAAGAAAATATTTAGAAAAAAAAAAATAAACTAATGTATCTTTTGTGTTGGATTGTCAGAGAAAAACAAGTTTTTGTTTACTGTACTATCTAATAAACAAGAAGATTTGAAAGAAATTAAGATTAAATATAATTACTTCTCGAATCTTGATATCAAAGTAACTCAAGTTTGTTAATGGATTAAAAAAGATTAAAACGGAAAAATCTAATTAAAATAAACACATAGGATTTCACAGATCATCGCTATTGACGCATATTCATGATAATGAAAAGAATAATATTCTTATACGACTCTAACATTATATAGACTGCGAACGTACTTTTAATTGCTGTAAGACTTATAATCACTTTGCATAAAAGGTTTTTATATCAAATAATAGAAAATAACAAGGCAGTAAAACTTAGTTATTTCTCTTACTAATTATCATATTTAGTAACCATTATGATAGTCGTTTTTACCTTTTAATTTTCTATTTTTTTTTATTTAAAACTACCATTAATAGTTATAATACAAATTCAAACTTAGTTTATTTATCAAATAATTTTCTATTAGCAATGACGTCAAAGTAATATCGAAAGTTTAAAGTATTACTCAAGAGTTTTCTTAAATGCATCTATATCAACTTATTGAATCATGATAATCATGAAAAATGTACTCTAGTAGAGGGCAATTAAATAAGGAAATAAATCTAAGAATATTGAATTGCAAAACAAATAACAGTACTGTATATACTTCAATATAATTAATGTCTAATGATTCAATATTTGATCTAATAGAGTTTACCTACTGTGTTTAAAAACATTTCGATTAAATAAATATTAATGTATGATTATATGAAATGTTTTCTTACAAAAACAAAGTAATAAACTAACACTAGTGATAATAATGAACGTATTCGTTCTAAAAGACCAAGAAATATTTCTATTGAAAATAGTTGAGTGATTTACGTAATTTATTTATTTTTTATATTATATCTTTATTATTTCATAGAATAAGTTTGACCTAGATCAATAAAATTTAAAAAGCATTCTTGAAAACTATTAATTGTAAGTGTTATAGTAATATTTAGTCTTTTTTCTATAATTTGGAAAAAAAAGTATTATGCATCAATTTTTATTTAATTACTTCATTTCTTTTATGTTATTTATATCTTCAACTTTTGCAGTGGTTAATAGCATAATTACTTCGTTTGATATTCTCAAATATCGACGCAAAATATTTTAGTAGAATAAATGATCAATCGTTTCACAAATTGTTAAAGTTATTGTTACTAAAAATAGATTTTTTGTGAAAATAAATTAAAAGACCTATTTCTAAAAGGTCAGAATAATTCTATTCTACGTTGTTTTTATGTTATTTTATAACAGGGGCTAAATTTTTATATTTTATTTAAAGTGAATAGCTTTTAAAATTTCTATATATAAACTTCTAATAAAGTGGAAAAATATTTAAGAAAACAACTGTGAAAGTTTTCATAGAAGAAAATAAGAGGAAATTTTTAAGAATTATGATTCAAGTAAGTTATGATAACTCTATATATTATATCTAGTTGTTACGCTTTTTGACATTTTTAATCTATTCCATTAGAATTATTAAAAATGATAACGTATTACAAATTCTTTCAAAACCAGAAAATAACGTCAATAATTTACAGTATACGGAATAGATTCTTTTGCTCTATTTTATCAAATACTTCAACTAAAATAAAAGATTACAAAAGGGTTTTTAATGTCTGTTTTTCACGGAAAATATTTAATTGCTTTGACAAAGAATGAAGAATTTTATTTTCAAATGTTTCCGATTTAAGATAGCAACACATAGTTAGAAGAAAATGAAATTTTTGTTTTTCAATATTATGACGAGTTATATACTTGATCTTTTAATAAAACAATTGTCTTTGTATAGTTTAAGTAGTTCAATTGTCTATGGCATATATTCATAAATAAAGGATATTTTTAAATTATGAGCATGACTATTTTTATATAGAAATTCATTTCCTTTCATTTCAATTATCTTATTAATCTCAATATATACTTAGAAAAATAAATGAAAAATGGTAAAAGAAAATACTTTTTTTTTCAGATTTTTTTTATTTCTAGTCTATTATTAATATTATATACGTGTCTGCTGCGAGCGCACAGCAAAGGAAAGAAAAAGGAAATGAGGTTTATGAGTAAATTATTATATGAATATTAAGTCAATTTTTCTTCCACAATAAGTCTACATTTTAATTTGAAAAATGTCTTGTACGGAATCATCAGACATTTATTGGAATTATGATAATCCATCTGACTGGTCAAAAAATTTTCCATGTGCAAGTGGACTATGTCAATCTCCAATAGATATTAATTCAATTGATACAATTCCACATATGTATCCATCATTTATATTTTCTTCAAAATATAATTCCGATAAACTATTTACTTTGAAAAATAATGGTCGACAAATATGTACAACGGTATCGAAATCTATTGATGAACATAAACAAAACGATCTTTGGTTTAGTGGTAGTGGATTACCTGGAGTATATCATTTTCAAGAATTTCATATACATTGGGGACAAAGTAATAGACATGGATCAGAACATAAAATAAATGGACATCGATTTTCGGGTGAAGCACATTTTGTTCATAAAAATTATGATAATGGACAAATAGCTGTACTTGCATTCTTTTTTTCTACTGTTGCTGCTGATGTTGTTGTCGATAATAATAATGAACATCATGAATGGGATAGATACGCTGAAGTTGCAAGTCGATTAACGAAAATTCATGATACAACGAATTGTACATTTAATTTAAGTAAACTTATGCAAATTGATGATCGAGAATTTTTTCGTTATATGGGTAGTTTAACAACACCACCTTGTACAGAAGGAATTATTTGGACTGTATTTTCTTATGAAATTCCAATTAAAGCAAGTAGTTTAGATCTACTTCGTCAAAATATTATGCGAAAAGTTTGTCGACCTGTACAACCAATAAATGGTCGAACTATTTTTCGAAATCATCATTATTCAAAGATAACCTGAATACTACATTTATAGACACTATTTGTAATCTTGTATATATTGTCACTGCAGAATAACATATTATTATATGATATTCATTCAAAAATTAGATAAAAAATCTCATCACATGAAAAAATATTTATCAAGCGTTTTAATTGTAAGAAATATCAAAG